GCTGCGCGAAGTTCTTAATAAACCTTTAGTAGAAGTTCGCGAACCCTAAGAACGATCTTACTCCCTTTACTGTCTTTGGTGCCTCCCACTCGCGGATTGCGGCTACCTTAGCTAGATCCATGCTTATCCCTTTACCTGCTTCGATAATGAACCTAAGGTACTTAGTTGTCTTAACTTCAAACTCGCACTTCTTGACGTCCACCTGTAGCCCTGCGGCTTGCAGCTTGCTAAGCACTTTTCGGACGTGCTCTCGGTGCTGGCGCAGATCGCCATCGGTGTAGATTAGTACGTCGTCCAGGTATGCTGAGCAGAAGTCATCTAGGTGTTCTCTCAAGGTCCAGTTAATGTATCGTTGAAAAGTACTTAGGGAGTTCGCCATGCTAAAGGGGGTAACTAGCCACTCAAACAGTCCGAATCTTGTTTGGAAGGCTGTCTTCCACTTATCGCCTGGTGCGACACAGATCTTGTAGAAGGCTGCGATAACGTCTAACTTTGTGAACCATTTGGCCTTGCTTAAGCCGTTAAGTGTCTCTCGGATGAGAGGTAGCGGGTACTAGTCCTTCTTAGTAATTGCGTTTAGAGCTTGATAATCGATGCATAGTTGGAGCCCTCCTCTAGGTTTCTTGGCAAATAATACTAGAGCTGCGGCTGGCGAGCTACTTACGCGGATAAATCCCTTCTTAAGAAGCGATGTGAGTTCCTTTCTAAGGACTAGGAGCTCTCTGCGCGACATGCTATAGAGGGGTCCCCACGGTGGCTGAGCATCCTTTAGCTCTAGCTTGATCTTGTGGTCCACCCCTGGCCCTTGGTGCGGTGGAAGCTTCTCTGCTTGCTTCGGGTTGAAGAGCTCATAGAACTCCTAGTACTGTGTTAGTAGCAGCGCTCGTACATCTACGGGCTTCTTCAGTTGTAGCGCCTTATCGATGTCTGCAATTAACGCGGCGAAGATCTAAACGCTATTTAGAGCGTTCTTATGCCTACAAACTAAGGCCGTAAACGCTATAGCGTTAACTTAGCTAACTTCTCCTTGTAGGCGTCCTTTAGTTAACCTTACTTAAATGCCCTTCGAGTAGATAAAAATACTCTTCTTAGCAGGAGATACTGATACGTCCTAGTGGTCCATCCATCCCCTGCCAAAGTACACGTCCTCACTAGAGGACAAGTCTATCACGTATGCATAAGCAGTCTCTTCGTACCTATACATCTTGAACAAGAATTAGGCAACCTCGCTAATCTCTAACAGCTTGCCATTCACTCCCTTAATCATCCAAGAGGGGATCTAAAAGCGCTCTAGACAGTGGCGGTAAGCGAATCTCTTGCTAATTAGTGCATAGCATAGGCATCCACAGTCTATAAGCGCGACAGCGTTTGCTACGTTGTTCACGATAAGATCTATGGTGATTGGTGGGGGACGCATATGCTTCTGCTAAAACTAATTCCATTCGCTACGTATCTGCCGATCTATCTTCAGAGGCTCTAGGCCAAGACTCTGGCCCAGAGCTACTCTTTTTCTGAGTCGCTACTCGGCACCTGATCGACTTCCTCCTGCGGCTTATGTCCAACGTTGCTTGGCGCGGGCCTTGCCTTCTTGACCTAGGTGGCGTTTTGACAGTATTTCGCGATATGACCTAGCTCTCTGCAGCGATAGCAGTTAGGCGGAGGTTGTTGTGGCTTGCCTCTAGCTTCTCGCGCCTAATTAACCTTCGAAGGCTCCCAGTCCATAACGTCTAGACTAGCTTCGTGTTGAGCGGTTGTCGTAGTAGGGCGACCTACCACCCGAGAGCTCGTTGCGCGCAGTTTAACGAGACCTACCCGGTAGAGGTTGTTGGACGTTCTTACTGCCTTATTGACTAGCTGCTTGTACGATAGATTCTCATTAATTGTAGCAAGAGCCTCCTGCAGCTTAGTGTGAAGGCCCTTTAAAAACATACTCTTCTTAGCTGCTTCGCCGAACTGCTCGCCTGACTGAATCTTAAGACGGTTAAACTCCATGTGATAGTCTCTTACTAAGAGCTTGCCTTGTTTAAGAGTTAAAAGGCGATTAAGTGCTTTGGACTTCTGGTGTGGGTCGTTAAACTGCTAGTCCATAAAGCTCCAGAGGTCTTCAATGTGGCGTTTACTCTGGTTCTGTATTGCCCAGGGTAGAAGTACATCCGCTGCCTTGCCCGTACACCTACTAACCACGTACTCGATCTGAGCGAGGCTTGAAGTTCCTTTGTACTCGTGCTAGAGCTTAGCTTAAGTCTTGTATTTAAACGCTACGTACTTCGTTCGATCTCCATTAAATGGTTCTAGGTGCGGGAACTTGTTCCTGCGCGCAGCTGGCTCAGCGATTGCGGCTGCTGCTAGGGGAGGCGTGAAGGCTCTATAGGACGACTCTAAACGCCCCTCAGCTTGGTTACGCTCGAGTGCCACGAGCCGTTCCGTTAGCACCTGGTTCTAGGCTGTTAACTAATTCATTAGCTCCATCATCTAGGCCATGGCATCCTGGTTGGCCTTCGGCGAGCCTCCTTGCCTTAGTGAGCCCTTTCCTCCCACAACAGCTGATTGTTTAGCGACCGCTTTAATTGTTGGCCTAATTGCTGCCTTCTTCCATCCGTCCTCTCTAAGCATTTGTGTAATTTCGCGCAGGATCTCTTCATCTGATACTTCTGCCTGGTACTTAGCAGCAGCGTACGCCGCCAGCTCTTCTATATTCAAGTTTGGAACGTTAATCTCCATTGCCTAATTCATTTTAGACGTCTCGTTCTTTGCCTGCTAATATGCAGGGCTTCTGATCGCTCTTCGATCCGCTCGCGCAGTCCTAGACTGCGGCCTACTCCTCGTCGGTGAGGACTAGTAGGGCTTACCTTTAGCTGTCCTTGTTACTAGCCAGAATCTGAACAGCGTTCTGTCGCTGTTGTGTCGCGTCCCTAGGAAGACTCACATCTTGCCGTCTCGCTCGTGGGATCTCGTCTCCTATTGAGAGTAATCGCACGGCCTGCACCTCGTCTGATAGAGGAACGACAGGACTTCTTACTACAACGTCTGCTTCTAGCTAACTGTACACTAGGCCCGAGTGGCCTTTAGGTAGTTTATTACGCGACGTTGCGCCTACGGCTCGGCTTTCCAAGACACAGTAGGACTTCCTAGACAGGTCCTGGGCGACTAAATCGCCTACTGTCTCTCACGGCTGAACTTCCTGCGAAGCTCTGCCCTAGGTGTACTGTCTTGCGACGGTCTACCTTCTTGCTGCACTGAAGGCCTTTCGTACCTATTGCAGCACTAACTCCGTGTTACTAGCTCACACTAACAACACGCTCTAAAACTTAGTTAGAAGATAGTCTGCCTAAGGCTTATGTCTAATTGGGATCAAATACAAAATGTAAGGGGCTGCGCTCTAGGGAGCAATTGCGAGGTATACAAGAGGTTGTATTCGATAGAGAGCTATAGAGTCTACTTGCGTGGTGTTTATTTACTTGTTGGAGAAAGGTTGCACCGAGTGTCTGAGCGCGTCGTCTGGGCGCCGCTTAGGCCTCGCACAGATGCCGGGTTGCAGAGTAAGACCTGGCGTCTGCTGCTTGACCGAGATTCCATCGAGGAGCTATCCAAAGGGCGTTCAGCCCGTTACATAGCGATAAGCTATACAAGGGTATGTTTTGGTTAGTAGGTAGTAAGGACAGTTCTTAACACGGGCCGCTTCACACTTGAAGTCTCACTTAACCTAGGTTATTTTTACTCACCTTAGACTAGGTTAGACTAGTAATGATTCATAAAACTACTTATTAAGATCTGGACTAAGTTGTATATATAGTGTTATAGACCCACCCCTAAGAGTTATATACCACCCCTGTGTTACAAGTAACAACGGGAAGGATCTCCTCCCTGGTGATGACAGTATGTTGTTGAGGACCACTT